ATCTGGAGTAGTAGGAGTAGGAGGAAGAGGCTTCTTTATACCTCCTAGTGAATGTAATAAAGCATTATATGATTATTATTATCATCATTATAAGGTACGGAATTACAATTAATATTCCTAACAATGGTATATGGTTATGTATTGTTTATGGCTAGTAATAGTATATCTAATGGTAGTGAATTATTATTATTAGTACCATCTATATCTAATATGGTTGGATCAGTAGTATTACCAGTATTAGGAGCTGTTCCTGATGCTATGATGGTATTATTCTCTGGTCTAGGTGAAGATGCACAACACCAGGTATCAGTAGGAGTAGGTGCATTAGCTGGTTCTACTATAATGTTACTTACTATACCATGGTTTCTTGCCATATTAGGTGGTAGGGTTAATGTAATAGATGGCAAACCTATGTAATGATCATTATCATTATCATCATACCACACCTCACTCTACTCAGTGTCCTATAGGTATCGGCCACCAAGTCATGAATTGGTATTAGATCATCTCAACTGGTCTAAGCTTACTCCACATAATAATCTATCATTAAGAGGTAATAGTATTATATAGTGGTGATAATGATAAGGTAAGAATATAGGTACTGGTATATGTGTAGGATCAATAGTACGTACTAATGCTTATTTTATGATGGGGAGTACTTTATTATACTTGATAATACAGGTAATAATGATTAATTATAATAATAAGGGATAATAAGAGTAATAATAGATACCAGCATTATTGGGTAATAGAATATATGATGATGATGCCAGAAGAGGGTTAGAACATAGATGGAGTGGTATTGGTATGGTACTATGTTTTATATCATTTATTATATATCTATATATACAATATAAAAGTAGTACAGTAGTAGCTGAGGATATTATCAATGATGCTAGAGTTGAGGGTATTAAACATGGTCATATTACATTAAGAGGAGCTATGGATGGTATTATACTTATTAACAATGATCAACAACAACAAGAAGAAACAACAACAACTACTACTACTACGTTGGATATGCCATTGATGATATTAAATCATCATATACCATTAGAACATATACGGCAGATGAGGAAGCTACTAACACCTTTCTTTCAGTATTATGATGTTAACAGAGGTAGTAGTATTGTAACAATACCTACTGCTACTACTCAACATTATCATCGATAGATCATACTATCGATTTTGATGAGTTTAAGATGCTTATGAGGGACCTACATGAGAGGATTACATTTGATGTAGTAGTATTGTTAGTAGTACTTATTGGGTGTATTATAGGGTATGTATTTGTTTAGGAACTAGCTACCCTTTTTGAAGAGGCTGATGCTGATACGTCGGGTTATATTGATTTTGATGAGTTTGTTACTATGATGATAATATATATACTAGAATCAAGAGAGCATCCAAATAGATTCCATCGTGATAGGACATCAGTATTTGATAATAGTAGGAGTAGTAGTGTTGGGGATATACGACATACTACTACTACTACTACTACTAATCATGCACTGCTTAATAGTACTATTAATAAGGGTAGTAGTAATACTGAGGTGTAGGATAATATTATATTGTGTTAGATAAGGATGTATTAAGACAACATTTATTAACAAGTAATAGAGCATCAGAATCAATAACCCATTTACCACCATTACCACATGATGAGGATGATGATGAAGATGATGATGATATACCCGAGGATTTGGCAGATCTAACCCCTGATGAACAGCAGAAGAGGATTAAGATAAGGGCTGCATATATGATGGGAATAGGTACTAATGGGATATCTATTATTGTACTACTCATAATAATAATATCAGGTACATTATTAATATTAATATTCTCAGATCCAGCTGTAGATGTATTAAATGAGATAGGTATACGTAGTGGTATTAACCCATTTTATATATCATTCATACTAGCACCATTAGCAAGTAATGCAAGTGAATTAGTTGCTGCCTATAGTTATGCTCAAAAGAAGACTTCAAAACATATTACTATATCTATAT